GGGTCAGATATGGACAAACCCAAATGTTGAGTTAAAAATGTAACTTAAAAAAAAATTACAGTTGAAAGTGAATGTTGGGTTAAAATTTTAAATTACATTTTAACCCAACATTTGGGTTTGTCCATATCTGACCCAAATTAGGGTTAAAACAACCCAGCATTGTTTAGAGTGAGGCTTTTTAACAAATCTGTCTCCGAATGAGGTGTCTCTGTATATCTCTTTATCAAAAACACACATGCAACAATTCCTGATCCGCGACCTTTCCTTCCCGCTGACTCATAGCACTGGTCCACGAGCAGATGGATGCGGGACTTCCTATATGTGTGCATGTCAGGGTGTGTGCCGCTGGGAAGTTAATTGCGGTTGGTTTTATCAGTCAGCCCTGGACAGCTGTGAAGAGAGCTGTGGCGGTTGTACCGCGGTCAACAAGCGTTTAGAGTTAGCGATGAATAAAAGATGGCGGGAAGACGGCTTTACGATATGTTAATGCATTATGAGCACGAAGAGTCTCCCCAATGCTGTCAGTCAGATATAAGATCCTTCTGTCAGGTTAACAAGCCGCCCCATGAAATATGCATGACAGGTTACCCCCCTCCTCCACCACTCCAGATATATTGTTCATGCTAAAACCAAACCTACTGACAGAAGAGGAGGGTTAGGACTCATTGTCAAGAGTTTTAATTCCAGACATCGGAGTGAATTCAAGATAAATGACTTAAATATTTGACAAAACGTCAGCACTCAAGATGCAAGATGACTCATGATCTTAACGGCCATCAACTGGAACATCGCTTGCAACCAAACCAGAAAATAATATCCTAAAACCAGGGGTGGATCTGGGAAGAAAAATCAGGCTTGGCTCATGAATATTAAATTAAGTGTGGTGACGTTTGCCCACTAGTTCTACCAGATTGGTTCAGTAGGTATACCTGATTTGCCAAAAAAAGCACAGCAAATTTTGCTATTATTATAAACACACCTTTATATATACACTAGGGATGTGTCTGAAGCCTAATTCCGAATTTGGAAAGGCAAATGAATAACGCATTTTACGGAGGCCCTAAATGGACATGGTTAGGCTTGCTGCGGGGGCTGGTTTCATTACATTACATCAGATATCATTTACCACGTGAAAATAGTGAGGATAGATGACCGACAGGATGATATCGGACAATTTGGTGCTTCATTAACAAATATCTAATCTTGTAAAAATGTGTGATCTCCCTAATATGCACACTTGCACAGAGTATGCGTGATTGCGAATTGGAAAGTGAAAAAGCGATTTCAATAACCCGCATATTGATTGACAAGCTCCCTGAAGTATATTGAACTCAAATGCATTGAAATGTATTTTTCCTCTCATATCATATTTTTCCCCATCTGTATGTCCCTTTAGGGTCTCTGTAGAATGCGTCAGTTTTTAACCTAATAAAAATGAGCCCGCCAATGAGCCAATGCCAAATGTTGGTTTCAATGGTTCTCTGATGAGATTACATATTAGATTAAAAAACAATACTGGTCGAAAAAATAAAAAAATAAAAAAAACATTAATATTGGCCAAATGGGATCGATATATTGTGCTCACCCACTTAAAATAGATGGAGCATGCCTGGGTAAATTGTTACGCCCCCGCCAATTAAAAATGAAAGAAGCCTGGATGTGTCTGTCTTCCGCTGTTTCAACATACTGGTATTTCGAAACGCTGGATCAGTGATCTTAAATGAGAAAATGTCCATCAGGAGTGAAAACTGGATGAGGAATGGCGAAGAGAGAGGGACAGAGGTGCGAGTATCGTGATTTCGAAGCTGAAGGACATCTAGGCAGGTGAGAATGAAACTGTTGAACCGTGGACACACACCTACTGAGAATTACACACCGTTAACACTTGTCTAATGCGAGACAACCTACTTGTCTCTCTCGAGCACATTCGCAAGCAAGGCACATAAACAGACACACAGCATCTTAATGTTTGTGCACTTTCATTCTGTGTCAAAATCCTCATATCCTTAGTCCAGAACGTATAAAAGATATTTTTTTATGACCAGTCAACATGATCTTTGCACATTTACCTGGGAAATAGCCATTGTTTTAGTTAACTGTTTAACTAGTTACTGTTCTAATTTACATTAATAACAGCAAATGAATTGAAAAAAAATTGGTTATCATTTGCCATTTACATTATGTATATTATAATATAATTTCTAAAGAATAAAACCCAACCTGATATTTTTCCTCAAAATGTGTCACATTAGCAGAGTAAAATTAATAGGGGTGTAACAATGTATCGTGTCACAGTATATCGCAATACAAAAAGGCAAAAATATGTATCGTGGATAGTTACAATATATAGTTCACCTAAAACGAAAATTACTTTGTGAGAAAAAAAATTCAAGTTTTCAGAGTTTTAGAGTCATTAAACTTCTATGTAATGTTGAATATAATGTATAATAATGCAATGGGGGAATATTTGTGGGTCCTGATAATGCCATATGTCTTATGTTACCAATAAAAAGCGGCCAACATTATTTTAAAGATTTCTAGTCGGCGACAAAGTGCAAGCATGTTTGTATAAAATAATTGTATTTTCAGCTTCAGAATCATCAATATTTTTATTGTGGTGTCACTATTGTCCTGTGCATTGGGTTACCAACACCAAATCCAAGCCAATTTAATATCAAATTGTGCATTTTAAATCAACATTACATTTTTTGTTAACATTTTACCATATGTCTTGGAGTATCGCAATAATATCGTATCGTGAGTTCGAATCGTGACTTGAGGGTGGCGTGACACCCCTAGTTTTTAATGCTTTTTCTTGACTTGGCCATGTAAAACCTCCCAATGATACATACATTAGGTAAACATGATGATAATTCACTTCATGGATCAACCCTGGTGGGCTTCAGTTCAAACCTGCAACCTTTGGGTTCCCTGCCCAGATCTTTCACCGCTACCCTTCTGGATGATCTCCTCGCTAAAACTTGAGGAGTAATTCTGACTAAATGGGACAACAAAGTACAAAAGATAAATGGTGCTCAAAACTGCTTAGACTCAGATATCGGACTCTAAAATCTAACGCATATGGCAGTTTTGACGACTGCTTGACACAAAATGGATGACAGCTCCAGACAGCATTGATTCACTCAAAAATTCCCATTTATCAAACCCAATCTGCAATGTCAGCTCTCAGCGACGTGACCTTCAAACCTCGTGGACTTCGATACAAAGCAGCGAACAGAAAGTGTCCGATGCGAAATATTGAGATTTGTGCATTAGAACGGATGATATGCAGTCAACATATCGAAACTATTCAAAACATTTCAAGCAGCGGTATCTGATTATTACGCAGACGTGCACACACACACGCGCGGTCACGGTGTCAGCACACACTGAGATGCGTGGTGGTTCTGACTGTGCCCGTAGGGGAAGATCAGTTCCGGTAAGTGGGTTACGACGGTCCTCTCCAGACAGCGGCACAGCGGCACAGCTAAATGATCAAACAGAGGGGGATTTGCCTCTCCTGTTCAGGGGGATTGGTAAGTGGAACAGGGCCATGAAAGATACACTACAATTAGTCTGGAAACTTCCTTCCCCCAGGTCAAAGGGATTACATCAGGTTGTGTCAGGTTTGAGCCATATTTGTTTAGTAACATACGACTGAAATACTGCAATTACATTTACTTATACTATAATATACACTGTTTTTATATTATATAAAACTATAAAACATAAACATACACAAACATACATATACCTATACATATATATTAGGGCTGTCAAATGATTAATCGTGATTAATCGCATCCAAAATAAAAGTTTTTGTTTATATAATGTATGTGGGTGCACTGTGTATAATTATTTTGTACATATAAATACACACACATGCATGTATATTTAAGAAAAAACATATTTATATTTATATATAATATAAATTATATATAGTATATACATGAAAATATTTCTTAAATATATACAAGCATGTGTGTGTATTTATATATATAAAATAATTATACACAGTGCATCCAGATACTGTATATTATGTGAACACAAACTTAAAAATAAATTTATAAAATAAATACTAGCATGTTCTTTTATAGTAGCATGTTCAATTTTAATATTTTTATATATTTATAACGTAATATACAGTATATGCACACTAGATATGTTGCTATTACTATTATATACAATATATACATAATAACCAATAAATATTAAAATAAAAATGTTTGTCCACATAAAAATTCATACTTTTTTGCAGTAAAAAGCTGCGCTGTATGGCCACTTTCCCTTACGGCCAATGCTGTCACCCGATGCAAAAGTCAAACTAATGCAAATAAATCTTTTTTTTGCAGAATAATTTTATAGTATGTAAGAGGAATGAGAGAGATAACGAAAGAGAGAGAGCGACAAGACTTTTAGGGTAACGCCTCGAGCTTTCATTTTAATTAGTTTGATTGTGCATTAAATCATCAGATCCTGAAATAATAAGAGAACTGCACCTTTCCTCTCTTTCATCACAGTCCTAAGGGTTGTTCCAGAAAAATATGTGCCACAATAAAACTGGCCTGTATAGACGGACTAAATTTATACTTTGCATTTAGCAAGACATTTCAGGACATTTCTCTTAGTTAAAGACCCATCGAGTCTGTCTAAATCAAGGTCTGCTGATGTGCGTTTGATCTAATACGAGTTCCACGACTAGCATCGTGTTTAACAGACTGGAGCTGTAGCGTCTGTTGAAATGAACACCGGCACATCTGACCGCGGGCTGAGCAATACGTCAAGCAAACACCCAAAAGACTCTTTAGTGAATGATGCAGGTGTTGAAGAGTTTTTAAACCTGGAGGTAGGCAAGATGATCAGTCTCGGTCACTACTTTTGGGGACCGAACCTTCAACCTTTCCCTAACCATCGAGATACCATCTCTTCTGTGTCACTCAGATTCACTGCACATGCTCCTGGATGTTTGACAGCACAGAAGGATGGAGAGATTCACTTACTACTTGTAGGTCTCTGAGCGGATGTACTCAAAGACATGAGAGATGCCCAACTGGAACTGGTCTGCTATGGGAATCACCCAGGAGTTATTCTCAGCCTTAAACACCTGCTTTGGGCCTGTCAGGTCCAGGTTACCTACAGACAGAGAGAGGAGGAGGAATTAGAAATTTACCAAAAGGGAAAGTGAGAGAGAAAGCCAGGCCGATATTATCGGCCGATATCAGGCATTTTCCAGACCATCAGTATCGGTAGTTATAATGGCCGATAAATGAATATTTCAAAAATAAAATAAAATAATAAACATAATAGTTATGTTACGTTGTTACAGTGTAGTTGACTGACTGTCCTTTTAACTTTCGACAATGTGACTGAAGTATTTCATCTGTATCATCTCTCCTTGGCCTGTTACATTGAAAATGTATGTTTTACAATTTGCAGTATGACGTTATCCATTGCTAAATTATGGCTCATCATAGACTAGCTAACCACAAATGCCACTATCATCAGTCTGTTCTGTTGTGACAATAAAAGAAACAAGTTTCTTTTTAAAAGGCATTATCATGTTATTTTAGTTAAAACTCATACAGAACTACAAATAACTAATGTTAGGGAAATCTGTTAATGTTTTGTTGCGCGTTTATGAAATAAAAAAATAAAAAAATATCGGCCAATTTATTGGAATATCGGATTTTAAAACCAAAAAATATTTGTATCGGTATCGGTATCGGCCTTCAAAATCCTTTATCGGTCGGGCCCTAGTAAAAATCAAACAAGGAGAGGAGACAAGACAAGAAAAGAGAAGATACACAAAGAGATAAGACAATAAAATGCAATAAAATGGTGTGATGGAAAAATGAGGAGAGGAGACTAGAGCCCGGCCGATAAAGGATTTTGAAGGCCGATACCGATACAAATATTTTTGGGTTTTAAAATCCGATATTCCGATATATCGGCCAATATTTTTTTTTATTAAATATTGTTGGATTTCACACACGTGTAAAAGAAAAGCTAACTTTTCTGCACAAGATACATTTGAGACTTTTTCTCGATGTCTAAATGTTCACTCCTCGCAAATATAACTTACATTTTACAATGCAGGGACTGTACACTCTAAAAATTGCTGGGTTGTTTTAACCCAACTTTGGGTCAAATATGGACAAACCCAGCCATTGGGTTAATTTTTTTTTATTACATTTTTAACCCAATGTTTGGGTTTGTCCATATTTGACCCAAAGTTGGGTTAAAACAACCTAGCATTTTTAGAGTGTAACTAGAGATATGCTAGTTAAAAATACAGTAATCATTACTTTATTTAGGCAGAAAAAGTTCATTGTTGTTTCCAAGCTCATTAATGTTAACGCTAGTGGTCTTCCACTGATAATAGTGGCATTAGCTAGCTTTGTGGTTAGCTAGTCTATGATGAGCCATAATTTAACAATAGATGACATCATACTGCAAATTGTAAAACATACATTTTCAATATAACAGGACAAGGAGAGATGATTGACATGTTTCGTCTGTTTTTTATTTATTTATTAAATATTCATTTAATGGCCATTATAACTGCCGATACCGATATTTTGGAAAATGCCTAATATCGGCCGATATATTGGTCTGGCTCTAGATGAGACAAAACAAGAGGAGATGAGACGAGATGAAACAAGAGACGAGACCAAAACAACAAAAGAAACAAAAAAAAAATGAAAAGGGATGAGACGAGAAGAGACATGACAAAAGAGGACCAGAAGTGAAGAGAAGAAAAGAGACGAGATGAGACGTGAAGACAAAGACCAGTAAAGAACCAGTTCACAGTGTGCCGATGAAAAAGTACAGGTCAAAGTGCTAATGTGGCTCATCTCAGCTCACAAGGGGGCTAATTAAATAGTTTCTGATTAGCAAGTGTTGAGCGGCCTGTCAAAGATGGGGTGAAATTAAACCTGGACCCACACCTCACAAACGCACTCAGACAAGACCGTTAGTGTAAATCAGCCCTGAACCTAAAAAACCTAGACGACAGTCCTATATCGTCCTACATCTCATTGGTCGAGCAGACATCTGGTCCAGGTTCAATTTACACCCTCCTCATGCTCTTTTCATTTCAACATTTTAACCCGTTTAAAGCATCAGTAAAGCATCTTTACACATGAGATGTTCTGAATGGTAAAGACTGTCTATCTCTCCTCACTTTTTCTCCTCTCCTTTTACTTTCCTGCTCTTGGCATGTGCGCTTGGTTGCTCCTTGTTAGCTGTGCTCTCCTCTGACACACACATACACACATCTTAACGAGGCTGGACTGTGGAGTGGGATTACAGGGACATGACAGAGGGGTCCTAATAAGCTACACACGGGAAGAGTCTCCCCTACAGAGTGCACAGGACAAAGACCTGCTGACCAGAGCGTTCACACACACCTAGAATGGCAATAAACAACTGCCAATTGCTAAAACACTACATAGGTCCTAAAACAAAAATTTGAAGCCAATTTGAGTGCCGTGTGCAGAACTCTCAGTCCTGTGCTAGTGGGGTGGTTGAGGGTGTTGCTTTGCGCTGGCAAAAGAAAGAGAGGTTTTTGAAGGGTTGAAGCTCATAAAATATTTTTTTAAACTCTCAGTCAGGGTGCTAGTGAGTGGTTGAGAGTGTTGGTATCCAGTTGCTAGAAACAATTTTGCTATTTGTACGGTAGCTTGTTTCACACACCTCACAAATTCAAGCCGACAATGGCCGATTCTTTAAATGTTTAAAAAATAATTGCAAACTTGCAAGCCGCTTAGTCTACTTACCCTTCACACCACATTTATATGACACTTGAGGTGAGTGCTGACATAATGCTGGAATACCGGTACACTAGAATCATAAATTATAATGTTGGAATGGAACAAGCCAGGAGGAAAAACGACTGTCAAAAGGGCAGTTGTGGTGTGTGTGTGTGTGTGTGTGTGGAGGTTTTCCCAAAGTGAAGTCACTCAGGTAGAGAGCAGTTCGACCTGGGTTAACCTCAGAGCTTCCAGCCAATCACGTAAGAGATGACAAATCTGTAGCCAATTAGAATGCACAGGGGGGTGACAACCTGGTCACTGCTCTGTTGTTGTTGATGTGATTTAGTGTGTGTGTGTGTGTGTGTGTGTGGGGGGGGGGTACTTTATTTTATTGTGGTATTGTAATTTCAGAGAAAAAACAATAAAGTAGTGCTGTCAAACGATTAAAATATTTAATCTTGATTAATCGCATTAATGTCATAGTTAACTCGCGATTAATTCTCAATTAATCGCACATATTTATCCATTCTAAAGGTCTCTTGATTTCTTTTTGTCCCATTATTTTTTTTTTTTCTAATTTTAACGCTCTTATCAACATGAAAAAGTGGATGGCTTGCTTTATGCAAATGTTTTTAATTGAAAACAACATTGACAATACTGTGTTCAATTTCACACTAAAATATTATCACTTGGAGCAGATAATCTCTCACACAATGTAACTGTCCATCAATAAATACTTACGAGGTCCTGATATTGACGAGGGGGTGGAGAATTCGTATCAGCTGTGTGTGTGTGTGTGTGCTTGGCCATCAAGTGGTATTTCAGACTGGACGTGCTTTGATGACAGCTCAGTTCACAACGACAAAACACTGTCAATGGAACCATTTGGAAACTTTTTAAAAGTAAACTTTATTAATTCAGAATTTTTTTGGCATCCATTTCGGCATCTCGCGCTCGTCATTCACTCAAAACTTAATGTTAACCTACTTTTTGGGCGGCTCGCAACAAGTGTGTTTCCGGTCTAGCTAGATCCGGTGCTTTCAGACAGGATGCGGAATGCGCAGTGCTACGCCAGTGGATGCCAAAAAGTTTCTATTGGCCGCGCTGGTAATCGTCACAGCAGCAAAAGTTGAACTATTTTGAATTATGACCGCGGTATGCGCGCTGCTGCTCTCGCGCTTTGGTTGACAAAGCAACAAAACATCCATGGGTTGAAATCAATGGGTTTCATGGCGCGCATCCTGTTGCAAAAGCGCATAAAAAAAAACAACGACAAAGTTTGCTATGCCAAAAAGACCGTTAATCTCGCAACAAAAAAGTTAATAACGTTAAAATCGGTTTGTGTTAATGCCGTGTCAAACTGACAGCCCTACAATAAAGACATAATTTAAATGTGGGACACTGTTTATGTCTTCCACAATGCAGGACAAAGCTCACAATTTCGTGATGGCGGTCACCCTAACGCACAGCTGTGTCTGGAAGTGTAAGTGTGGATGTTTTATTGGTTGATGAGGGTGTGTATTAATTTGCATTCCTATCCATAAGCCACTACACTCCAGTTTTAAGGCCAGGCTTTGATTGGTTAATGGGAATATATAAAGGATGTTGGTCCAGGAACATGTGTTACGCACATGGACATGTTCAAGTCTTACCAAGTTCAGGAGGCAGTACAGTGAGTCTGTTTCCTTGAATGTGAAGTTCCTTCAGCTGAGTCAGATCCCCGATCTCTTTGGGTAGAGAGATGAGGTCATTGTCCCTCAAACTCAACTGAAAAAAGAGAGTGAGGAATTAGACAGTGGGAAAAGTTTATAATTTACCTTACTTGCTTTCTTAAATGTCCCTGGTTTTACAGAGCATGATTTATATATATATATATATGGCTATACTTTTGAAACAGGCTATGTGTTTCCCATTGATATCCATTGTAAATGCATTACTGTACACTGCGATAAACTGCAGGACAAGTCAAAATTATTTTCCGTGGTAACTGACAGCATGTCACATGAGTGCACCATTTAATATACCAACACTTGCATTATAAAAATCACGGGTGTAATTACACCCATATTTTAACGCAACACCTGACCAAAAATAGTTGAATTTTATTTTTAAGTTTAAAGTTGTAATTATTAGCTGTTTTATGTGACTGTGACCCTGCATTGAGTCTGATCAGTCTGATCCTAGCGAGCACAGGGGTGAAGATCAGCCTCTAAATCACCTCTCACCACGTCTGATAAAGAACACACACTGCGGAGAATAAATCCAACACACACGGCACAGAGCACCGCCACAAAAGCAATTGATTTCAGAGGGAATTTAGATAAATTACTCACTATCTGTAGCTTGGCCAGCTTGCCGATGTCTGGGGGCAAAATCTCAAAATCGTTGTCACTGAGATAGAGCGCCCGCAGGGTGGCTGAAATGAGAGAGAGAGAAGTGTAAGTTTAAGTGTGTGTGTGTGTGTGTGTTAGAGGAGTATTGCAAACATTGATCAATAGAAATGGTCATCTCTGATTGATACAGCATGGCTACAATCTTACACCCAAGCACACACACATAATATCAACAACAGATCGACAAAAAGCATCAAATACACACTGTAAATGTTCAGAAAACCAATTAAATAAACATTAATTTTTTAAATCCTACACAAATAGTGCCACAACTTACAAGAATTTTTTTTATTAGTGGCCCCACCCACTTCCTGACCATTAGATGTTAAAGCAACAGCATCACAACTCATGGGAAACACAATAAACATAACCGCAACAAACATCGAAAAAAACATAGAATAAAAGAGCAAAAAGTGACATAGAATTATCAATTCGACAACTTAAGGAATCAATAGATAAATATATATTCAATAATACACCTCTAAAATGTTCAACAGCTTAAAGGAATCAATAAATAGATATATATTCAATAATGCACATAAAAAATATATGTGCCCATAGATGATCCATTTAGTAATTGAATGCTCCTCGGCACAAATGATGTAATATCTTTTTATATGTCATATCATAGCCGATATGACAGCCACTCTCCAAACAGCACTTATAAATAGCAGTTTGGGAGTGTGTGTGTGAGAGACCTTGATTAACGTTAAGAGGGTGCTTTCATTATGTGGCTGCCATTAAAATAACAGGTTATTAGAGCCCATCACTGCTCATCAGTATCCTCTGACGGGACCAGCTGATTGGACTGATGAGGATTAGATGATGAAGTTAACAGTTATTTTGTTAGCATATAGTTAGTAGGTAGTCTGGTCCTCCTTGCAGCTTATTCTGCTAAAGAACTACCTAAATTGACTGGAACCCGTATTATTTCAGAGACCAACCACTCTGAAATCAATAATCTCACAAAAATAATCAAGAATGCAAGTGGGAATTACTAAAAACCTGTTGACATGGTAGTCAAAAAAGGTAACTTTGGTCAAATAAAAAGAAAAAAGATATAGAATTCACTTGATGACCATTTTGGTGACACCATTTTCTTTCCTTAAAATTTAATGGGGAAGGACTGAAATCCTCAATATCTCTAACCATTATTTAAATCTGATATTTGTTCATTTATTTATGATCCCATAAATGAATATCATAAATGTTGCTTCTTTTGATTAAATTACACTAAAAAAGTACGAGATTTAAAATTCCCGATATACTTCAAGCTCAAACAAGAATCAAACTGGTGTGACATAATAGAGTGCCGAAGTTATCGCGTCACTTTGTAGGCCAAAACGCAGAAGTGAGTTAGCATTTTAGCACTCCCGGTTTTGATCTATGACATAAAACACACCAGTTATAACCTGCTTATGGTTTTTTTAAACTTTATTGTGTCTGCTTGTGTTTTTTTTTTACTTTATATAGGCTTCAAAATGTATACATTTTGGATTAACTTGTAAAGATTATCTTGATAGACGAAACGTGTAAGGGTCACAACTCTTTGTTGAACACAGATCTTATTTTTTGCGATTTTCCAAGTCTATGGGGAAAAAGCATAACTTTTCGATCGAGGGAACCCACGCGCCTAAAATAATAAAATTATTTTTAGCCCTTAGCGAAGAACGAAAAAGAAATTCACCATGAGTATATCAGGGCCTTAAAGTGATAGCTCATCCTAAAATGAAAGTTAAGTCATAAATTACTCACCCTGGTGTTGTTCTAATCCAGTATGACCTTTTTTAAACTAACACTTGTAAATTGCAGCCAATAAGAATGCAGCATTCCCCTTTCTATATTTCTTTTTATTTTAGTTTGTAATATGCATCAAGTGGTCTATGAATAGTCAGTCCTTTGTTATAAATTAGTAAGATTGATGCAGGTTATACTGCTAATACATTGTGTGTGTGTTGCAGACTTACTGAGGTAAAAGAAATTTCCGGGCAGTGAGGACTCATTCAGATTGTTGTATGTCAGATCCAGAACCTCCAGCGCCGGAAGAGATCCGAACCCTCGTGGAAGAGTGCTCAACCGGTTCATCCTACACATGAAGACCATAAAAATGCCATTTTAACCAAATCATCAGCTTAAAAAAAAACACCACACGTCCACAAGCAGATACACACTTATAAAACACCCATCAATTCTTGACAGGGAATCCATTGAAAATCCTTAGCCGACCTACTCGAAGACATGAGACAGAGACATGCATTGCGCACAGATCCATCTCACTGATTTTGATTGATATTTCAGATTGATAATGCAACTCAACAGATCTTCTCACATTTATAACCAAAAGTCTGAGATCACTAGTGAAGGTGTGAAACCAATTCCATTTTTAATTTTACTTAAATTATACAACATTTTCAATTACCAATTATATTATCAGCATAACAATTTGGGTAAAAAAATACAGATTTAAAAATGTCTGTTTTTCATTTGTCCCCCTTTTGCATTAATGACTGAAATACATTACTGATTTTATGTCATAAAACTTCTTAGTTTTTAATTGGTCAAATTCCTAAAACATGCATATATGTATATGCATATATTGAAATCAGTCACTTTTGAACAATTAAATGCATACTTAATAAAAGTATTAATTTCTTTTTAAAATGTATTTTTAAAAAGTATTAAAATCTTTTTAAATAATTGGTATATATATCAAATTTACAGATTTAATTTACACTACCATTCAAAAGTTTGGGGTCTGAATTATTTAAAAAGATATTAATACTTTTATTCAGCAAGTATGCATTCATGTGACTAGATTTCAAAAGATTACTATTTCAAATAAATGCTGTTCTCTTTAACTATTTATCAAAGAATCCTGAAAAGATGATAATAATCAGAATCAAATCAATTTCTGAATGATTTCTGAAGGATCATGTGACTGAAGACGGGAGTAATAATTCTGAACGTCCAGCTTTGCCAACTGAGGAATATAATATACTTTTTAAATATATTAAAATAGAAAGCATTTTTATTATTATAAAAATACTTCACAATATTACTGTATTTTTGATCAAATAAATGCATCCTTGGTTAGTATAAGAGACTGATCTCAAAATCAACACTTGATAGTAGTGTATATGTGAAAACCAGATTTTCAATGGTTTCAGACATTTAGTCACCACTTCTTATACATATAAAAACTCAAGGTATTTCTTAATGAAAGTTGAATGTTCAGTTAGCACACCAAAATTAAAAATGTTAAAATCTTATTTGCCCTTGAAAGGTAGCGAATTAAATTTTGGCTGAAAACTTCCGACAGAGAACATGGAATCTGAAATTAGAAAGGCTCAAGGTGCCCGACGACGTGGATAAAACACGGGAGAGAGAGCGAGACAGAGAATAAGAGAGAGAGAGAAGGGGGCGCCCAAATCAGATGCTGATTAACTCTTGCTTATTTAAGCGTCTGTGCTCCGTCTCTTTCATTCTCGCTTTCAAATGGCACTGGGTTGCCATGAAGACAATGAAACTTTAGCAACGGATTTGAAAGAAACAAACAAATTGATCCAGCACATGTTTGCGAAGCAATTACACAAGATGGGGAATTGTTTTGACAAATGAGATCAGGATAACGGGCGGCCGCACGCTCACACACACACATCCTCAAGTTTGAGTCGAGAGTAGCGGCCGGGAATACAACAAGCCGGCTTATGTTTTCAAGATTATGTGTAGAAATGGTGCGTCTGACAGCAAATCGATGAAAATGTGCGGTGTCAGACGCGGGGCAGATTGTGCCGCGCTTTAATCCTGCGTGACATTGAGGAGGCTCCGCCCTCGGAGGAAAAGGAGAACCCTTGGGATTCGGGTGGGGCTCAGGTGGGCTCTAAACACCAGGGATGAAGAGAGTCAGAGAGGAAGAAGAAAAGAGGAAGACAGCGGCACTGCCACTGTCAAGGCTTCTTAACCTCACAAAAAAAAAGAAAGACAACCATTCCTAAACCAGATATGCTTTGATAGCCAGTGTGTCTGATCAACAACATATACTAGAATGATGATCCTCCTCAATATGAAATTATTAACGCCGTTAATGCAGGCATGATCTTTGGGAACGATTTCTGACCCAGAAATTAGCAGATTTATGGTTCGGAAAACCAGAGGAGACGGGAGGAGAAAATACAATATTCGAGCAGAGGGGACAAAACAAGACGAGAACATACAAGAGGAACGGAAAGGAAGGAAAGAAAGGGCGAAGTATATGAGAGGAGAAGAGACAACAAAATAAGAGAGATCAGGAAAAAAAGTCAAGAAGAAAAATGAACAGACATGGACACAGGATATGAGAGTAGAAGATATGAAATTATAAGAGACAAGAGGAAAAGAAAATAGGGGAAAGAGTAAGAGAGGTGATACAAAAGAAAGACGAGAAGAGGCAAAACACGTTGAGAGATAAGACAAGAAGAGAAGAGACACGAGAAGAAAAGTTAAGGATACAAAAGGAGAAGAGGTGAAATTATACGAGAAAAAAAGAAGAAAGGAAGGAGAAGAGACAGAAAAAAGTAGGAAAGAAGAGACTAAAGTTAAGAAGAGATGAAAAAAGAAAAGGCGAAAATATGAGACGACGAGAGAAGAGAGACGAGGAAAAAAGATAAGAGGAGGAACACAAGAGAAGAGACAGGAAGATTTAAAGAAAAGAGACAAGTGGATACAAGAGGAGAAGAAATGAAAGTATAATAGACAACAGACAAAACAAACAAAGAGGGAAAAGTAGAGAAGAGGCAAAACAAACTGAGAAACGATGACACATCAGACTAACCCAAGGTTCAGATGTTTCAGTTTCTGAAGGCTACTGATCTGAGTTGGAAGCTCCTCAATCTGGTTATTAAACATGTTCAACACCTCCAAGTTCTTCAGGTCTGCAATGTTAGGAGGCACACCTGAAAAAGAGAGAGAGAGAAAGGATAAACTAATAAACAAGAACAACTTCAAATCTGCAGGTATCATCAATCTAAATCAATCAAAGCGTTTCAATTGACTGTATTATAATCACCAATACAATCCTCAAGGTAAAGCATTCCCAAACGAGAGATGAGGTCTAACGAACAGAGGCTAATTATCAGAGTCAGCAGACAGACGTCCCGTCTTTGATGGCTCAATTATGGGTCCCTCCCCCAGCGATAGATTTGACACTTTAATGATGGAGGCCTTAGCATAACGGCTCATCGGCAGCACCCCTCCTGCCCCCTCCTGCTGTCGACAGAGATCGATGGGCCGAACAGGCGCTCTATCCGATTACTGGCTGATCAATGGCCCCTCATTACGGAGGAGGGGAGGTGGGAGAGGTTTACACAAACAGCATGACACGAATACCTCCAGAGAGATCAACGAGAGCTGCCCCGCGCCAGACACGGAGGAACAAATGATTCAGCCGTCACACAAACAATTCACAAATCCAACTAGGAAACACAAGCGTGAACGCACATGCTCTCACAGCCCTCGCTATTAGCAGATTCATTTAATACAACTTCTACTACTATTTACTATTTAATATTATAGTAAAGTGATGTTTCTTTTTAACAATGTAATAATTTAAACACATAATACATCAATTATTTAATAATAAATGTTATGTCAGTACATTCTCAGAGCCCTATTCAGTACATGTGCATGTTATTTAAAGCAGCACTATGTAACTTTTTCGACCTTTATAATATTTTTCCAAAACCCTTGAGATGGTACATCGACTTACAAGAGGTTGAATGACAGGTCTGCCATAGACCCCTTTTCAGTTGGAAAACATGGAGACGGGTTTTTTTTGTGGGCGGAGCTTAGGTGGAGGCAGAACGATCCCTCTGGCCGCTTCACTAACGTTAGTTAGCAAGTATTATTAGCTTGTTTTTTAACAATGACTGGAGAAAATCCGAAAGTATACGTAAGTATACTGATTACTGAGTTTGGTAGGGGCTACATTCTTGCAAGTAAATAAAAACATGATTAGACGAACAAAATAATCAGTCAGGATAACTATCCTATGTCTGCAGTGCAGGCTGATAGTCATGTTTGTTGCTTATTTTTCTGGTGAAAGTGTCAAAAGTATGCAAATCGATTTTTCAAATTTGCAGATTCATCTATGGTAGCTTGATATTATAATATTGACGTCATGGCTATTATCTGCCAACAAACATTGAATTGAATTAGCATATCCATTACGTAAAACAGTAACCAATAGGCTAACGTCACTATAAAGACGCTGGCTTGTAGACGTGAGCTACGCAATCTTTTGACTTAAAAAAAATAAAATAAAGCCCATGACACTATATTCATAAGACATGCTGAAATATATGCCAATTTTCCTGAGATGAAGACATTTCACACGCAACACTGGAGTCCGCCCAAGATGTGTGAACTCCTTCCTTCTGCAGAATTCGGGGGTATCGCTTGTCAACAAATGCATGTGTGTATTCCCGAGTGTAATCATGACAGATTTTACGACATTAGTAGAAGACAATACTGTTTCCCAACTGTAGGGGGACCCCGAGAGCAAAATTTCAAAAGTAATATAATGCTGCTTTAAGAATTAAAGACTTAATTTATTATTATTATTATTATGTACATTCAAATTAGAGACTAATAGCTTGATTTTTGGTCATTTTGAGATTGTATTTAAATACTAGCCAATTTATTATATAGACACAAACATCAATACCAGTGAATGAAAAATCTTATTTTCGGTCTGTCAAATATAAATTAGGGCTGTCAAACAATTAATCGTGATTAATCGCATCCAAAATAAAAGTTTATGTTTACGTAATATATGTGGGTGCACTGTGTATAATTATTTTATATATATAAATACACACACATGCTTGTATATATTTAAGTAATATTTTCATGTATATAGATTTATATAATGTATAAATATTTTATATTTAATTTTTTTTTTTAAATATACATGCATGTGTGTGTATTTATATATATATATATATATATATATATATATATATAATTATACACAGTGCACCCACATATATTAGGTAAACACAAACTTTTATTTTGGATGCGATTAATCATGATTAATCGTTTGACAGCCCTAATATAAATATACAAATAAATATTAAAATAGTCTGAAGAGTTCTTAAACATCCACACGCATCCATTCATGCATACGCAATTCTCTCTCTCTCTCAAAAATATATATAAACACACACACACACACACACACATAATATATAATTGTGTTTAATGACTTTTCCCCCACAACAGTAAAAGTGTAAGAGAAATGTACATTTTAGACATAAAAAAATAGTGTCCATGCTAGTTGAGTAAGTTTCAGTTGGACCCTTCAAAACCCAATGTTTGCATCAATCCTCTGACCTTTTCGCTTATAAACGAAACGATTTATTTCCCAGTGTCTCATTGGAAATGTAAACGTACCAAGAGACACTGCAGGACACTGAACTCTGCGCCCATGTCAGGGTCCCTCTACTCCTCTCCAAATGACACACAAGATCGATCTGTTCGGCCTTTTCCATCCTTAAGACACATGCCTCTACCAGACGTCTACACTTTATCTTCTTATACCACAGACAGGGCTCTAGATCTGCTGCTTGAAAATATCTTTTTATGTACAAGCTGCAAGTACAAAACTGCTTGTAAACACAAGTTTAATGTATGCGTGTGTGAGAGTGTGAGTGTGTGTGTACACGCTCGCACCCTATTGGAGCCTTTAGAAACAGGCAGAAATGCTGATGGTAATAGGACAAAGAGTACACGGCTATATGGAGCAGAAAGGTTTCCCCCTCTCTCCTCTCGGTCTCATTACCTGAGCTGATGCCTGACCGGGCCGAACAGCAGCCCTGCTTTACTCATGAGCCACTAATGAAAGGGTTCCAAATGTCACTGTAATTCCTGACTACCCTGAAAAGTTCAAAAGATGGCAGATTCCCTGTCTCTGCTCTTTAAGTAGGCAGGATGAGAGAGAGGAGAGGAACAGAGGAGAAAATGCAGAGTGGTGTGGAATACACAGGGGGAAAGAGGTATAAAAATACACTCCATCACCTATTGGGTGAAGATAGTATTTTTCTTTTTTTTTTTTTAATATTGTGAATTGTGACCACATAGATTATTCAGATTTATAGATTTTGACAATATAATAATTTTCTTAATATGTATTTAATTCAATTCACATTTATTTTTGTAGTGGCCTCAGGCTAAAGTTTAATTTTCTCCCTCATTTAATATAGCTAAAGACAAGCGAACATTAAAAAAAACATATTAAAAGGCTTTGATCATTTCTATAGAGTATAATTATAATTTAACATAACATAATATTAAATAAAACATTTTGCTTGTGGTCTCAAGCTTTTGGACCCCACTGTGCATCTATACAGTTTCGCTTTCTCCCTTTTTTAATCAGCCTCAGACAAGCGGTGTGACCCGTAACGGGTCCTCATCTTAAAATCTTATAAATCATATTAAACGGCTTTGATCATTACTTCAGACGGTACCTGACAGAAATGTGCATTATCACACTGGGATCTTCATGGAGATTAAGAGAAACGATTCCTGCATAAACAAACAAATCCCCAACCAAACACTTCCTGTTCAGATCAGATGAGAGTGAACGTGGTTTGGGGCGATTACCAAGGACCCAACGATTATGTGGGTGGGGAAAACAAGATACAAACATATTATTTCTCCTAATAACTCTCAGCTTTCAAAGATTATTATTAAACTCACATTTAAAAGAAAAAAGCTAAGAAATGTTCACAAATTAAAGTGAAGATTTTCTTTACATATACTATTATTGTTCACTAGCTATTATTGTGGTACTTAAACTGAGCAGAACCTAAAATCAAGTGATCAACAAAGACAAGAGAGCCCTCTAGTGGAGTTAACCAGTTCATGAACCTGCAGTCTCAATATAATAAAATAAAAGTAAAAATTAAATCTAACTTAATGAAAGGTGATAAAAGCATATCAAATAAATCAAGCAAATACTAGTTTAACTCCAAAAATTCAACAAATCACTTATACTCCCCAATCATTTGGAACTTGGTTGTTTCCTATTGGATTTCTACTTGGGAAATAAGTTGCAAATCCAAAAGACCCGGAGATTTTCCTTAGTAACCATTACTAACTCAAACTTAGAAACAGCCATGCTATAAAACTTACAGATCCATTTTACCATCTCTCAAAAACGTAATGCATTTTTCTGTATATAATTATGTAACATGTTCAAATTAAAAGCAAAAAATACTATTGAGACAAGAACTTACCACTCAGCTTATTGTGGCTCAGGACCAGTTGGGTTATGTTGGACAAGGTGACTACAAAATAAAAACAATTAAAAAAAGACACACGTTTACTTGATGTGATTGCATGATGACGTCATTGTGATGACGCCACTAATCTCCTACTTTTGTAAATAGACACCACATACTATGATTGACAGCCACATATTTACAGTGTAAACAAAACTAATTAACATTAGCATAAAGTTTATTAACATTAGCACAATATAAAACTTGTAAAGAAACTGTCCAGACTGAATACAGCAGACTCACACAATCCAGGAATATCCAGCAGGTTTGATATCCCTCTGTCACACATGTCCACCTCCGGGATATTCTTATCACGACTCTCCTCCACTATCTTCTTTAGGGACTTTGACATTTTCTACAAGAAAAGATGAACCGATAAAAGAACCGAATACACGCAGAGAATCTTACGAATAGAGTTTTGCCACTTTCGCCTCAAGTCGCGGTTCAAATCTAGTCATTAAAATCAGAAAGAACTCACTCAGTATTTACCTAACTGTATGGAAAATACGCAAGCATGAAGGAAAAACAGACAACAAATATCCAGGCCCTCCGGGCAGTAAAACCAGATCTTTTTAAGCAAGACAGTCGCTCACACCCAACCGGAAGTTGATAGTATGTCTGTAAAAGTCTCGCATTCCTTCCTTAAAAGGGTATTTCCGGGGTCGAGAGAAAGGAAAAGAATGTCAAGCAGAATTCTGTCCCATTGTCCAATCAGCTGCTAGAGAGTCAGTGAAATCGTTGAAAAAAGGCACACAACTGTCCAATCAGAATGCGCGCCGCTGCACGAGTGCGAATCAATCGATGAAGAAAAGACGAGAAAAGTATCGACGCGCGCACAATATTATTGATGCAAAAATAATGCTTGTATTATTTTAATATCTACCGAGAATTATTCACATTTGTATTCAAAGCAACATTATTATAAATAAAATTAGTTAGGCTATATTCAAATTAGTGAAAAGGGTAAATCTCACAAAAGCCTGTTCAGAACAAATCCAAACACACACCACATGTAATGTAACCCTGACTGAATGTATTATCTAATGCACTTCATGTTTATGGTAACAAAGAATAGAAAATATTTTATTTCTCTCTCTATGTATATATATATATATATATATAAATTATCAAAATATAAATGTTGAATATATATAGGCTATATAAAATGTTGAATATAGCCTACATTTGTAAACATGTTGAATTTTCTGAATGTTATATGAGTGATTATATATATATATATATATATATATATCAATATATACTTTTGATTTTTTTAAAAGTAATTAATTAACAGAGAAAATCCCTTACGAGAAATGCTACCAACATCCAACGTGTATAAATACTTAAATAAATACTTACATACTTTACAGTTATATGAATATCTGTTACAAAGAGCACTTTCCCCTCAAAATATCTATCCATCTGAATAATGTATTAGTGAATCCAGCAGGTGTCTTGGAGAGGCAGGTCCCAGATCCCCGGCTATCACCTACCTTCCAAGAAAGACACATTGTTTAGACGTCTACACAAGATGGAACAGCAAAATGAGTCTTCTCTGTCTCCTCCTCCTACAGAACCCTAGCATGAGGCAGAGGAATGGAAACACTTCTCTTTTCCTTTGGGTTCCTTTGGTCCCAGGTGGAACCATCAACAGACTGGATCTTGGTCTGGGCTCGGTCCTTCCTTTGCCTGTCTCTCGGTCTGTGTCTGGTTCTTGCAGGGTTGATCATTTCTATTGGGGACTGACAAACAGTGGCTCTATTTATAGGCTTGATTATATTTGGTGAGTGGCAACAGATGCTTCAGCATGTTTGAACTTTGCTTTGCAGAGCGGGAGTTCTGGATTCCAGGGGCAAAGCTTGTTTATGTTGTAAAATCTTTAACCAACACCCTCGGCCAGAAGCCAATGGAGAGCGGACGCATTCAGACATGGCATGAGGGCACGGGGAGGTGTGTATTTTATTAGAATCTACATAAAGGAGCAATAAGCACTGACACTTGAGCAAAGTGGGCAGTGAGGTGGGAATGTGTGGATGTCTGAGTGATCTGCTCTTTGATTTATGAGGTGGTCTCAAATTATGTGCCTCAGGAACTGTATACAGCAGCGCAGACCACCAGCAGATTAGCCAATATGAGCTGTTGTATGTCCAGAATGAATGTGGATTTTATGGTTTGTCAATTGTTTTTTTGTTTTTTTTAAATAGGGAACATTAGTTTATATATATATATATGATTTTATTGTAATTTTTATCTACTGTAATATAACGATAAAATATAAATCCCTCATTGCAGGTCTCCTGAGGCCATTTTCTTGCACTATTTCCAAGGTCAACACATTTTTTTAAACACAGAGCTTCTCATGAACTTTGACCTTGTTGGGTTAAGGGAAAACTATGATAAAATGTTTGTGAAAATCGTGAGAAAGGCCTTAATACCAGATGGTAATGTCTCAAAGCTCTGTTTTTCTGTTGATCAGACACTCTTCTTTGACCTTGATTGGAGTATTTGGTCGCGTTTTGAAGGAAGAAATTAAATATATGATGAAATGTTGTTTTGCTTTCTCTATATAGAAGCATTGCATGAAGAAAGCTGAAGTCTGTCTCCCTCTACCGAGCAGACAGCACTGAAGTCTGTTTCTTCCTCTGACAGCTTCATCATCACCCTTAAAGTATAATGCGTCAGGCTTGAGATGTCAGAGTGGGCTGTGTGAATGAAGTCCAGAGAGAAGCTGAGGATATCAGACAGTGAAAACAATATTTAACACTGCCACACATTCACAGCTTTTGAAACGAGTGCAAGTATTGGCTTATTTTTTTATGTTGAAAAAACACAGAAGAGATGACAGCAATTTAAAACGTCTTTACCGACTGTCAAAAAAAAGCTGCCTTCACCACACAATTACTACATTAAACATCTTTATTTTCCAAAAAAGCATAAAAAATACATACAGTACATAAATTCAATTATCTACAAATGAGGATTCATTATATATTATTTATGTTTGATTTGCCGATTCTTCACTCAATGTTTAGGATTGCTAAGTGTGTTCACATATTTCTGTGTGAATTTTTCTTGAATTTCTTCTCAGCTTCTCCATGTGAGTCTGAATCCGGACGGAAGAACGGCAGACTGGGCAGAGAATTTCACAAACACAAGGTTTGAAGATGCTCTGAAAGGGGCGATATTTGTCTCCTACAAAAGAACAAAGAACAATTATATATCCATAGAAAAAATGTGCATATACACTAGCGTTTTTTTAAAGCATTTTTAAAGAAATCTCTGCATTTATTTGATCAAAAATACAGTTAAACGGTAATATTGTAAAATATTATAACAATCACTATATGAATATAGTGTAAATGTAATTTAGTCCTGTAATGCAAAGCTGAATTTTCAGCATCATTGCTCAGTGTCACATTATCCTTAAGGAATCGTTCTAATATGATGATTTGCGAGAAACGTTTCATATTATCACCAATGTTGAAAACAGTTGTGTTTCTGAATAATTTTATGTATGTTATTTCTCCGGATTCTTTGAAGAAAATAAAGCTCAGCATATATTTGAATATTAAATATCTTTACTGTCACTTTTGATCAATTTAAAGTGTCCTGAATACAATTATTTATTAAAAAAAAAAAAAAAAAAAGAATCAGGTTGTCCCCACATTTTTTAATGGTAGTATAAATCTATGATTAAATAGTAATACAGATGCTTAACAGAAGTGTTATGATTTTGCAATAACCACAGTAAGAGTTCACACATACCGATCCACAGTACGGCCCAACAACTGGTGAATTGGCATCTGGTCCGTCATATATCCTCAAGTAGTTGTTCTCGCAGTCTCCTGGGTCATCAATGCTGATCTGGTTGAATGTGATTATCACTAATCTGCCACTAGGAGCCCTGATTCCCCACTCGCAAGAGGTGCCGTTGGCGTAAGTGCCAGGGTAGTTTGGACTGGCGAAAGAGCCGTGGTCTCCATATAACACACCTCCACATCCTGGACACACACACACACATGAGTTAGGACTCTCAGCAGCAGCAGCAGTATCGGACTAAGGATATCGTTGCAAATATAGATTAGCGGTGCGTTTCTCACCCTGTGAAGAGGAAGTCCAGGTGATCTCAAAGCCGTTGCGGGATGTAGAAAAGTCACTCTTGAAATGTAGGAAGAGCTGGTTGGTTCCCGGGAAGACAGGATTTGGCAGTGTGCTACCACAGTACTTTCCTAACAGAGGCGATGTGGCGGTACTGCCGTTTCTGACCTACAGAAAGAAATATACATTAGACAGCTACAGTAAAATCATCATCATCATCAGAAGGGCTAGCATAGCATAATATCATATGCAGGTTTTATGGATGATCTGTATTGAACAGCATCAGATCATACTGCACTGGGTACTGTATCCCATAATGCAATGTGCTTGGCATGAAACGGATGTTGCGATTGTTCTTTTTTTTCCTAATTTTGAGGTATATCCGAGTGAAACGGCTCCTGAAATGAGAATAAAATGTAGAGTGGGGCTTGATTTCGTCCTTCAGGAATTGATTGGTTCGTTGGAGGTTGGGCGTTGCTAACAAAACGGATACAGAGCCTGATAGCCCCGCCCTTGCGCCATATCACATGACAGGAAGTTTCCAGGGGGAAGAGAAGGATAAGGTTTTTGATTAAACCTTTGGGCACATGAAAGTGCACAGAAACATAATTTATAATAAACACTGCAATATTACATAAATAATAAGAATTGTCAATTTTTATTTCATGGCAACTTTACGCGTTTTTATACAAAAAAGTATGATATCTAGACAGATTGCAGAATTAAACATTAAATGTTATTTTTTTCATATTTTCCATTTTTCATCATTCTATTTAGCTTTAATTTCTATGCATTTCAGTTTGTAATTTTATTACTTCAACTTATTTTATTTCAGTTCTGCTCATATATATACAACCTTTCCAATATGACTTGAACATTTATTTTATTTCTTAACTTTTTTTTTTATATGGTGATGGTTCAGTATGTTTATGCTCACCTCGAGATAGTCAAAGTTGCAGGAAGGATGAGTCTCCACATCAAAACTAGAGAAGAACAGAGAGATGGCACTGTTCTGAGGGGCCTGGAGTATGATGTTGCATTCAAGATTATGAGGATATATATCAGGCCAGCCTGGGCTCTTAAGGTAACCGTATTCCTGTTCATAAACCCTGCTGCAACCTGCAGAAAGATCACATACAGACACACACATGACAATATAATCACACCTAAAAGCTTTTGTTTTCGAATCATATGGGAAAACACACCTGCCACCTGATAGGTAAGGCTGAATCCATTCCCAGTCACGAAGGCCTCTGATTTGAAGGTGATGTGCATGGTGCGGCCGTAACTGTAGAAATCTGGCACATGTGAGTCTACGCCACAGAACTTATGAGACTGTCCAAAATCTCCCTGAAAGATCAAACAAATAGTTTTCAATTATTTTAAACATGCTGTGAGAATACAACATATAAGTGAAGGCAGCAAATTTCAATAAAGCAGTAAGCCACTTGAGGATACATGATAAGTAATTGAAACCTAAAAGCAATATTTATATATATATATTTATATTTATATACTAAAAATTCAACTATAAATGACTAAAAATTCAACTAAAATTCACATGGAAAGTAAAAATATAAAAATATATATAAAAAGCCAATTCAAAATATTAATAAAACTACAACAAAACTATAAATAACCCTGTATTGTGACTTGTGAAGAGATACTAAATTGCTTTAGTAAGCTAGTAGGACAATTTTAGGGGCGATTGGGTTTTACCACAGGGAAGTCCTTAAACTCCAGGAAGTTGCTGGTGCAGCTCTGGCTGGACTCCAGTTGAAACTGTTGAACGGACACTTTCACCGCCTCCTGAGAAGGAGCATCCAGCACCCAGCGGCAATTACTGAACGGTGGGTAGGCACTGGGATAAAACGGGGATGTGATGGTCTGAGGTGATGCTGTGGCATTGAATGTTCCTCCACAAATACCTAAAACAGTGAAAAAGCACGTTAGCATGACTGATTCAACATTAAATGACATCCAACTATAGAGGGAATGCATTGACGTGACTTTCCCGCCAAAACAACCCCCCTCAGCCTGACTGAGTGGCAAAAGAACTGCTGCGTGACTGGATTTAATAGGGGAAACTGCGAAAATGCGACTATAATGAACAATTTTATCAATTTAAACTAAATGTTGGACTCAATATAGTGTTCCTTACAACTTACTAAGATCCAGTGATCCATGGATATTGACATGCAGCCAGGAATCGTGTTGCCTGACATTTATGTTTGCTGATTTCGACACTGGGGAAATATAGACCTAAACATAAAGCAAATTTGTGGACTCTTTATATAAATATAATATATAGGTCTAAATCTGGGTGATCACTTATATCAGTGTTATAAATAGCCTATATATATCATCATATCGTCCAGCCCTAAAACTTTATAGTTTTTTTTTCGGTCAGTGTTTATTAAAAAAACATCCAATAATGCAGAATATGCAATGATAAATATTTAATTGATGAGTTGTTAATATATATATATATATATAACAATACAAAATATATGGGTATGGTTTTACACCTAAATTCAGCATATTGACACAAATTGATAACTGCAAATCCAGTCCAGTTTTTACTGTGAATTGCAGCGAT